CTGCTGACAGAGTACAGGGGGCTCTAAGAGAGAGGAGATGGTCTCCTGCTGTTCTTGATTACAGTCCTGCTTGTGTTCTGTCTCAGGTTGTGGGCAGAGTTGCAGAACTACTGCTGTTCAAAAGGGACCTGCAACTTTTACGACAACCAGGATGAGAACTGCACGTTGAGGGTACGTACACTCTTGGGAAGGGTCTGTGGGCTTGTAGAAACACTGCTGAAACAGACTTGTTAAGCCCCATTCAGGTTTCAATGAATTCCTGCCAGCCCTTGCTGTAATTCACTCAGCAGCCTCTAGGTGGCAGCCTTTCAATGTAGCAAGCAGGTGTAGCCATGCCTACAGAGTGGGGAAAAGGCTTACAAATGTTATACAGCCCAGTCCTATTTAACCATAACAGAGATGCACCGTGTCATAAAAAAAAAAATTCTTTTATAAAGTCAATGTTAGATGAAAAGAGCAGTTGCTATTCTTAATTAAAATGTTTCTTCTTGGAGAGGTTGAAGTGTTGTTTTAGAGACTTCAGTCTGTGTGTTTGGCGCCAGTGGGAGTCTTGGCCAATGAGAGACCTTTCCCCCCACAGATGCGTTGTGATGTAATGTACCCACAATGCCCTGGCTCTGGCAGCCTTGACGAGCTGTACACTAGCTGTCTGTGTTAATTTATGCATTTGTTTTCAATGGGATTAAAAATGTCGTTTGTCATTGACTTAATCGTTAATCTTGCTTTCCTTGTATACATAAAATGAAGTGGTCTCAGAATACACCCACATTTGAACAATTTAGAGTAGACATAAGGGCATGTAGACATCATCTCCAGAGTATTTCTCAATTGAAGAACATGAGAGCTATGCATACTTTAGCTCATTTAATCTTTTTAGTTGTATCATGTAATCCCGATGAGGGTCCATTCAGCTTGTGTGTAACGTGTGTATAAAGTTTGATGGAGTATCGCAGATGTCCAGCAGCCTGAGTTCACTGTGTCTCTGTCTCGCGCTGCAGGTGGCTGAGGTGCAGGTTCTTGTCTACAGGTCAGGGCTCAATATATACAACCTGTATGCGCCCTGTGCAGGAGGGGTGCCCCAGAAAGTCAGGTGAGGTGCCATTGGGATGCTGACACAGTGGATGGGAAGCTGTTCTCCCCACAGAGGGGCCGAGAGACGTGCAGTTGTGTGATACTAGCAAATTCCTTGCCAATTACCAGCACAAATATTTTTTTTTTAATGAAACAAGGGTAAATACACATGATTATTTGGGGAACAAGGCAGCTGTGCATGCGGTAGGGTTGATGTAATCTTTTGGAAATTATCTTTGCAGCTGCATATTGTTCAATATAATGTGCAAAATGACATTTTTTGCACCGCATTTTTTTTAAGTGAAGGAATTGAGGTACTTCCTATGTGTTCTCTAACTCCTTGTCTGTTGGTTAACAGCTACCAGAAAGATCACCTGGTCATCCACGACCTGGGGAACCACTTCACTCGCCACCCCTGGACTGCCATGTGGAGTGAGGTAGGCCTGGGCTCGGCGGGGGCCCTGCTCGTTACTGGCGTCTCTGTCATTCTTGTTCAGCTGTGTCCTGACCTGGGGAAAGAAGAGACAGCACGACGCGTGGGATAGGTTTGATTGGCCTGTCTAAATTCTCACTTTGGGAAGAGGGGGTTTGATCGCAGCCCTGCTTTATGATGCTCTCTAGAGCAGGGATTCCAACAGCCTTCCCTCAGGAAACGATTGGATAAGATGTGCGCGTTAACGGTAATGTGGCTTCCTCTCCTTCGGCGCTTTTCCCGATGTTGTCAGCAATGTGGCGCTGCTGTCTTGCAGAAACTCCGGAGTCTGGCCTCTATACACAGGTCCGTGAGGCTGGACCCCCCCTGCACCAACTCCAC